GGGGGCTCCAGGCGGTGCGTCTGCAAAAACTCCTTGTAAAGCTCCTCGCCGCCTCTTAAGCGGAGAGAGATGCTTGCCCCCCCCGTGTGTTGGGGGGGGCAGCGAGCATCAGCGCCCATCCCGCACGTGCGCCCGCCCCCTTTCTTCTCGGCTTCCCCGTTATAGCTGCGGGCGACGAGCGGAAGGCGGGCAAGAGCCGAGGCGAAGCGCCCTATCGCGAGTTTTGCAAGGGGAAGGCAGGCGCCGCCACCGCTACCGCCGCGGCTGCGGGTCCGAGCCGGCAGGGCGGAGGGCAACAAGTGCCACCCGCAGGCTCGCCTGCCGCCTCCGGCATCGGCGGCCGAGGCGAAGGCGCAAGCGAGCGGTGGGGCTGGGCCGGGCCGGTGGGCTTTCAGGGCCCCCGACCCGACCTCTCGGGAGAAACGCCGGCGGGCAGCGCGGGGGGAGGGCGGCTCAGGCCCCGCCGTCAGCAAGGCCCTCGGGAAGCGCCGGGACCCGCTGGGGCGAACTTCCGCGGAGGCCACCCTCCTCCCTACTGCGGGCGATGAACGCGCCTCTCCTGGCGGGGGGGAGCCGAAGAGCCGCTCCCCACTTTAAGCGGCCGCGGATCCTGGCGAAATCCGGCGGTGCCCATAGGGTCGCGGAGCTTGAAGGGTGGCCCTAGGTTGGCGCCACCAAGCTTCTGCTGCTGCTGCCGGCAGGGCACCCTCCTGGAATAGACCGTCCTAAATTAGAGTAAAATGGAAAGGCGCGCCTCTCCTGGCGGGGGGGAGCCGAAGAGCCGCTCCCCACTTTAAGCGGCCGCGGATCCTGGCGAAATCCGGCGGTGCCCATAGGGTCGCGGAGCTTGAAGGGTGGCCCTAGGTTGGCGCCACCAAGCTTCTGCTGCTGCTGCCGGCAGGGCACCCTCCTGGAATAGACCGTCCTAAATTAGAGTAAAATGGAAAGGCAGAAGAGGGGGACTCTCCTGGAATAGCCCGTCCTAAATTAGAGTAAAATGGAAAGGCAGAAGAGGGGTTGCAGTGAAAGGTGACCTAGATCAGCGGTTGTGAAACTGGGGTCCTCACATGTTCTTGGACTGCAACTCCCAGATATCCTGGCCAGCACAGCAAGTGGTGAAGGCTGCTGGGAATTGCAGTCCCAGAACAGCTGGGGACCCCAGTTTGGGAACCACTGACCTCGGTGGACTTTTTTCCCCTTTTGCCCAGAATGTATTTATTCAATTATTTGTTACATTTCTATTCCATCCTCCTTCACACCAGGCAGGGCAGCCTACAAGGCTCCCCTCTCTGCTGCGTTCTCACAACAACATTGCTGTGTGGGTTAAGTTGTGAGTGAGTGGCTCAAGGTCAGGGATAGAGTTCACAATGGGGATAGGAACCTGCCTGTTCATATCCACTTGCAGTGCTCCTGTATGGACACAGCACACCTAGTGAATCAAGCTACCAAATGTGAGCAATAGCCTCCAGCCATCCATGCATTTTCTCTCTCTGAGATCATGGTGGATCTCTGGGACAGGAAGGATGGACCAGCATTTGGGGGGGGGTTACGGTGGGGTCTCAAGGAAAGAACATGGTTTCCTTATGCAACCTGTAGAACGTCATTCTGGTCCCATGTTTAAAACATGCATCTGTGCGCGCGTGCACACACAAACCCAACCCTCTGGGATTCTGGCAAACCTCCCAGTTCAAAGGGAAGATGTAGCAGCAGCCCCGTCC